ATACGGGCGTTTAAGGGTGCAAGGGCGCTTTAAGGTCTGGTGGAAGGCTTCCTTCGGGCATTGGAAATGTTTAGAGTCTAGGGTGTCCAGATTAGTGTTTCATACAAGGGCAAAGGGCGGATTTCATACAGGTTTTGGAAGGTCTAGGACGTGGAACTGAGATAAATTGAGGGCTTAATGCCGAAACAAGGCAGTCGAAGACTCCACTTGGGCTTTCTCGACGCCCTAGAATTCAATCTCGGGTTGATAGGCAGGGATTTCAAACGCCCTATGAGTGTCTTGAAGGATGCTTTTCGGATGTTATAGGGTTTAGGGCTTAGGGAAGCATGCTTTACGGGCATTATAGGGTTGCCTTGCTTGGGCATCTCATGCTCTACGGTACCCTAAACCCTTAGCCCGAAGCCATGAACCTGAAACTTGACTGTGCTCGAACCGAAGCCAAGGGAAAGGGTTTAGGGTTTAGGGTTTAGGGTTTAGTGTTTAGGGTTTAGGGGTTTAGGGTTTAGGGTATCATACGGTTTATACATGGGGATCTTAACAGGGTTCTCGGTGTTTTAAGGCTCCACAAGCATCGAAAGGCTTCCCCTTCTTTGGCGCCTTCACGCGAGTATCCCTATAATCAAAGGTCTACACTCTACGCCATTGAATGTGCGTATACCAAGAACACTGGTTGCTTAGGACTAGGATCCTCTCTTAAACCCGGCCCTACACCAACAGTCCTAATCCCGATGTGATCTTGTCTACTCCCTGAACCCTAAACCCTCGACCCTAAACCCCCAAAGCCCTGTAGACATTGCACCCTGGGCCCTCAACCTGCAGCACCTGACAAAACCTTCTCGGAACTGGACGACGCGCTTCTAGAACCAACCCCCAAACCTTTCAAATCAGAAGTACAAATTTATCCGTAACCCTAAGCCCTAAACCCCCAAGCCCTACGACCCCTGAACCCCTGCAGGGTGCAATCAGCATCTCTTCCGGTCGATCCATCCGGTCCCAACTCCGTGCCAAGATCTCCCTCACGCTGCCTCCCTGGATCCGTTCCCCCGGAGTCGGCGACGTTGTGGGCGAGCACCCTAAGCCCTAAAAACCCCTAAACCCTAAAGGGTTTAGGGTTTAGGGTTTAGGGTTTTGGGCTTAGTTATAACTCCACAGCGATGTGCTTCTCTTGGTGTCCTGGCTCATGATCTTGGCATGCGGCCGGCTGGTAGTGTCCGTCGTTTCCCAAGCCAAGTGCAAACCTTGGGCATCTGTCGTCACGCTGACCTGCAGGTTGACTCGGCCGCTGGCCGGGCCGCGAAGCTGCGGTGCATGCAGCTTCGCCTTGGTGCTGGTCAGCAGCACGTCCGACGAGCATGACGTTGTCACCACCCTGTCCCAATTTATCAGACATCCTCAACTAATCCCTTAAAGCCCGATAAACCCTCAACTCCTCCTAGGCCCGAGACCCCGGGCCTCCAAAAACTCTTTGCTGATGGCCTTCCAGTCTCCATCGTGCTCCTGGGTTGCGCTTCTTTCGGGTGTGGTTTATTGGGGCTTTGAATCAAGGCTGAAAGGGTCTCATCAAAGGCGCTCTGTAATGTTCGTAGACAAGAAAGTGGCTCATAAGGGCCCATAATACTCTTATAGCAATCCTTAGAGGCCCCTTTAGAAGGAACCCTTTAAGGAAAATACTACCCTTATAGCAATAAGGGCCCATAATCCCCTTATATATATATATATATATATATATCTCTATTCCTTTTAGACCCTTTAGAAGGAACCCTTTAAAGAACCCTATTCTAAGTACTAAGGGCCTTGAGAGCAGCTCTGAAGTCGATAAGCGCTTGGGGCGTTTGCAATTAGGGTTTAGGGCTTTGGGGTTTCGGGTTTAGGATTTAGGGTTTAGGGTTTAGGGGTTTAGGGGTTTAGGGTTTAGGGTTTAGGGGTTTAGGGGTTTAGGGTTTAGGGGTTTAGGGTTTAGGGATTTAGGGTTTAGGGTTTAGGGGTTTAGGGTTTAGGGGTTTAGGGGTTTAGGGTTTAGGGCGCAACATCCCCAAGGCCTCCGAATAAGTCTGACAAGTCATCTGCGGATCTCACCCTCTCCTCAGAGGAAGCTATCCCCAAACCGTTAACCACTACCCTGAGATCCTCCAGGCTCCAGCAGTTCATAGCATTGTCCTGAAAATGCATGAAAACCTAAGCCCCAAACCCACAAACACCTTTAAAACGAGCACCAGACTTCCTGAATCCCGAATCGTAGGTCGGACGTCGGTGGCCAGAAGGAAGGGGTACCCTTTAACGGGTCTCCCTAATAATACTACCTCATCTGCATTAAGGAGAGGTCTCGGCTTCTGCAAAAAGAACCTCCCAAAACAGCCCGAGAAAAAATGCGTGGAAGTATCCCGGAGCCAGATGGAATCTTTGATGCCACATCAGGGAGGCCTTGAATCTGTAAGGATCCTGTTCCCCCAACCCTAAACCCTAAAAACCCTACGAAAACTCTAAAACCCGAAAACCCTGAACCCTAAAAACCCTACGAAAACTCTAAAACCCTAAAACCCTGAACCCTAAAAACCCTACGAAAACTCTAAAACCCTGAACCCTAAAACTAGGGCTTCCGAAACTTCCACTGTAAGCCAGGCGGCAGCGACGCAGAACTCCAAGAATTCGTCGAGCTCTGCTGGAAACTCTAGCTCCGCGTCCTTCCAACATGGGTAATTGTCTAAATTCTGATCCCTTTTCGGGGCCTTTTGATCCGGGTGCCGTGATATTTCGGGGACCTAAAACGGGACCCTAATTTAGAGAACTACCCTGAGGGATTCAGCTCCAAAATCTGTTGAACGGAGTGTTGGATTGGGGAGCTTCAGCAATCAAAGGCATAGAACCTGCACCATTGGGAAACCCTTTAGAAATCAGGCGCCCGGTAGGTTTGTGGGCTTGACAAATCCCCGTTTCTGGAACGTTTCATGGACTTGCAAAAGCTTCCACGTCTTGTGGGGGAGATCCGGGTTCGGATTGCACTTCAGGTCCCCCATACTAGAGGGGCCTTAATAAATAGAATAGGGTTTGGGGGCTCATTCTACTATACTTATAATCAAGAGAATAGGGTTTGGAGGCTCATTTTACTATACCTATAATCAGGAACCCCAAAATAATGTAGGGAAATATTGAGGCCCCCAAACCAGTTTCCATCAACCCTTCTCCGAAACGCTGGCCTCCTCCGCCTCCTCGACTGCCCGCGGCATGGCTCTGAGGCGCCCGAAATCCCGGGATCCCTTGACCCAAATACGAAAAATGAACCGGAGAAAAGACCCTAAACCCAAACCCTAAACCCTAAATCATAAATAGAAAAAACCCTAAACCCTAAATCATAAACCTAAACACTACGCCTCATTCGTCATCGACTCCCGGCTCTGGCATCTTGAAACACCATCTCTCGGCCGGCTAGGATTCAGGGAGACTCTACACTGGACACACCCTGAAAAACCCCCAAAAGCACAGGTCTCGAAGCGCACGAACACTCCAACTGGCCGAAATCTGCCACCGGCTATGAAGGGCCCTTCACTAGGGTTTTCCCCACTTTCCGCCTCCGGACCACGAAATGCAAAGCCGAAAAAAGCCGAACCCAGATCTTCCAGTCTTCCACGGCCTGAAGTTCTCAGCATATGTTATCTTAAGGTCGATTTTTTCATCAATAGTCTCTGGCATTCCCTGCTAACCCTAATCAACATGTCAAGATCCCTTTTTTACGGAGAGAGTTCCCTTGATTCGAGCGTTGGGAAGATCTGGGAATGGCCGACTGCCCGCGCAGCCTAACACCCTGCACCCTGCAAGGCGAACGGCGACAGCCCCTGTGCTGAAAATGGCTGCAGGGTTTCGGGGTCTGCTTTTAGGGTTTAGGATTTCGGGGTTTGTTTTCAGGGTTTAAGGGTTTGTTTTCAGGGTTTACGGGTTTGTTTAAGGGTTTGCTTTAGGGGTTTAGGGTTTGCTTTCAGGGTTTAGGGTTTAGGGTTTTATTTTTAAGGTTTAGGGGTTCGTTTTTAGGGTTTTAAGGGTTTGTTTTTGGGGTTTAAGGGTTTGCTTTTGTGGTCTAGGGGTTTGGTTTTTAGGGTTTAGGGTTTGTTTTTAGGTTTTAGGGTTTCGGGTTTATTTTTAGGATTTAGGTTTTAGGGCTTAGGGTGTTCCGATTCGGGTTTAGGGTTTAGGGTGTGCCGAGCGCAGAAAATCGAACAGTAGCGTTTTGGATTTCGGGTCTGAGAGGCTACTACTATTTGCTTAAGAAACCCCCAAAAAATAAAAATAATAATCCCTATATTACCCCCATAAAGAATATATGTTTTCTATTTTTTGGTGGTTCTTAAGCAAATAGTAGTTTAGGGTCAGGCGAACCCCGCAGAAGGTCGTCGTGTAGCCATGAGGAAACCCCTGTAGCACCTGACACAAGCCCCTTTCAGAACTGACATAAACCCTAGATCCTAAAATCCCGCAAAGAAACCTGTCTCTTGTGCTGTCAGCCTCCCCTGCCTCCGGCGTAGGGTTTAGGGTCCTTCGGTTGATGATATAAATCCTGCATGACCCATAATAAGGAATATACCATAATTCCCATGTATTGCTTGTTATGGGTAATGCAGGATTTATATCATCAACCGTTGCGATAGCTTCGAAGATTTCTCCTCCGAATTTCCATCGTAAGCTGAACCCACGTGAGGAAGCTCATCCCATTCTAAGACCGATGGTCGATCCCAGCTTTGAGACGAGCCTCCAAGCACCACACCTAAGGGTATTTCTCAAGCCCTACCATGGGAGTTTCCGAGAGGGCCCCTAATATATAGTGTTCTAAATAGTAGAATCCTTATTAACAGGGGCCCCAAGATAAGGTACCTCGCATGTTCGGAAACTCCCAGATCTAACAAAGCCATGAAGGAATTAGGCACGTCGAAACGGGGTAGGGAAGGAACAAAGCTCCGGAACCCCGCAAATTCTAAGCCGCTAGGGTTAAGGTTGAGGGGTAGACAAGGGGCTGTAGGAGACCATGTCAACTTGCCTGAGCAACGACGGCGAGATGGAAGGATTGGCTAGCTTAGGGCGATAATGAATGGTTGAATCCAACATACGGGTTTGAGGCTGTCAAGAGTCAAGGGACCTAAATCTTGGGCTTACGACCTACGGAGTAAACACATCAATTCCTCAACCTGTAAACGTTCGCCACTTTTCAGCTATTGACAATACAATGTAGACCGTTTAGGGCGGAGGGCTTCGAAGTTGCAAAACTTGGGTTCAAGGTTCGGTGCCTGGCACGAAAGCCTTTCCGAGCAGAGTGCATGTACAGTGAAGAAGACTCATTGAGTTTGAGTTTAGGGTTCAGGGGTTTAGGGATTAGGGTTTAGACACTCAACAACTAACTTTCTGGATCTTGCGCAATGCCTAGATGCCCTCTACCCCTCCCCTAGAATGATTCAACACAAGATCTCGAATCCTGAACCCTAGATGTTGTACCACATAGACATAAACTCTTAGATCCGGAAGACCATCAAAAAATCGCGGAGCTAAATGCTATACCCCAAAACCGACAAGCATGAATTGGCACATGATGATCCCGGCCGTGATGTCGTGATGTTGATATCGCGACTATGACGGTTGCTGCTACTTCCGCTGTGACGCGGTGCATGAGCTGCATGTGTAGGTGTGTGTGTGTGTGTGTGTGTACCTGCTGGTGCTGTTGCTGTGATTGCTGATGATGATAATGATGTTCATGATGATGAAGATAATGAGGATGATGAGGATGAGCCTGAGGAGGAGGGGCAGGAGGACGAGGATAATGATGGCGATGATGATGGTGCTGGAGCTGGTTCTGGTGCTGGCGCTGATGCTGATGCTGATTCAAGCGAAGCGTGCAGCCTCAAGCCCAGCCGCAGACTCTGACCATATTGTGACTATATGTTTCGAAGGCAACTTCATGCCTGCGTAGCCCTCAATTCTAAGCCCCAAGCCAGGCCCCAAGGCTTGCACCCTGAACCCAGACCTCTGTACCTGCAACACGGGCTGCCTTAGTAGCCAGAAATTGCTACCGGACTGCAGCAGCATGGACAAGAAGATACGGGATCACGATTGCCCCCGCGCATGTTCCGTCAACAGCAAACGCTGTCGGGGGAACTTCCACTGTCCCCCTGAGTATTTAGACGGGTTTTCGGGGCTACTATATATGCTCAGAAACCCTCGAAAAAAAACCCAAAGCCCAAATGCCCCGCAAACCCTCAACCAACACCCGACACACAAACCCAAAACCCGAAGCCGAAAACTGTCATCCCTGCATCCTGAAGCTCCCTTTCCTTAGAGATCTCGGGCTTAGGATTTAGGGTTTAGGGTTCGGTTTAGGGTTTAGGGTTTAGGATTCAGGGTTTATTAGGGTTTAGGGTTCAGGGTTTAGGGATCTTGAAGGGAACCCGAAACCTTGAAGGGAACCCTGGCCCAGCTGCTTGAATGAGGGGAACTCCTGAGCTAAGCCTTAGGCTCTCCCCTATCCACTTAATCAACACAGGAAGAAGAAGAACAAGAGTAAAAGCAAGCAGAAGAAGAAACAATTGAGTGATCATGAAACCATTCGAAGAACAATAATTAGAGCAAGGATACGAATAAGAATGAAAAGAAGCATCTCGGTGCTCGTTTTTCATGAGTAAACCCGAGAAAACGGAAAGAGTGATTTAGGGGTTCATGGCTTGAGGGGTTTGGGTTTCTGGGCTTTGGGGGTTCAGGGGTTTAGGGGTTTGGTGTCTTCCGGTTGCTTCTGGTCAAAAGTGTCTTGGGTGCTTCATGTTCAGAGGCACTGTCTGGATTTGGTCTTATGGGCTCCAAGACTCTGCTCCTGAAACGAGTCGGGGGACGTAGCACGTAGTGTGAAAACTACAGGAACCAAAGCCCTGAGCCAGCAAATTTGGTGAGACGTCTAGAACGGCACATCATAGTACGGCTCATCGCCAGGTTGAGCATGGACAGTATATAGTTTTGACAACTCAATGGCAACAGCTGATGACAACAAGCAAATGCTAGAGGCAAACCTCAAGAAGATGTCAGCCTGTTTGCAACGGATCCCCAAGCCCCAAACCCTGAACCTTAAACCCTGAGCCCTCAACTCACAAAAAAAAACACGAAGCCCTAAACTATCAACATCTTCAGCACCCAAGTCGATGGATCGCGGCCACTACCAAGTGCCCAGCTGCAATTTAGCACAGCGTACTATACCAACCGGAATCCTTACTACTAGCACCTAAACCCTGACCCTCCACCCTAGTAGGAAATCGCAAATGTCCCGAAACCCTTTTCTAATCATTTCCGAGCTTTCAGCTCCAAGTGCGAGATCTAGGCGCATCTGTGGCCATGTGTTCTTTAGAGCCAGGTCCTTTCCTTAAAGCTGTTGGTTTACAGGGTTTCCCAGCGAAAAGCCGCAAAGCTCGTCAAACTTCTCTGGGAAGGTTTAGTCCAGCAGAAAAGTGTACAGGAGAAGAATGAGTAGGATTTAGGGTGAAGGCTTTCGGAGACTCGTCCAGGTCTAAACCCTGGCGGGAATATGTTTGGATGGTTCGCGGCGCCTGAAACAACATGGGGTGGGATGGATACACACGAAAGGTTACTGGGGGGTTCATACAGGATCGAAACCACGTTGTCGCAAGACGCTGCAGCCTAAGCGCGACTGCACGGCAAATCCCAAATCCTAGACCTCAACCCTAAAACCTCCAACCCCGAAATCATGCCCCAACCCTCAAAACCCAAACCCCAACTCTATAATCTCATTCATTTTCTTCAGGGGATTCCAAACCCAGCCAGCTCCAGTCGAGCTGCACTTGTGGCAGCACCTCGTTGACCACGTTGGCAACATCCCCCCACAGCGACCTCGGCTCCCTGTGCTTTGGGGGCTGCCCAGGTTCCTTACCATTACGGTCCTTTACGATTTCCTTTAGTATGCATTTTCAGGGGGTTTGCCCAAAGTTTGCCCAAAGGCTTCGGAGTCAAAAGGCTCATGCTTTAGGATTGATGGGAGGCCAAAAGGGAGGTTTAAGATTCTTGGGGTAGGGATTCCTTAATATGAACCCTATTATGGGAACCCTACTCCCTACTAAACCCCCATAGGCTAAAACCCCTTTTGGCCTCCTATGATACCCTTATAGATCCCTTTAAAGGAAGCCCTATAGACCCCTTTAAAGGAACCCTAGGGATCCCCCAAAGGCTCATGCTTTAGGATTTCTGTTGCAGGGGGCTTCCGATTTAGGGCTTTGGGTTCGTGGTGGCGGCTCACAGTTCTCCGGGCTTCTCGGCTGCTGTGTATCCAGTCCTTCTGTTGATGATATAAATCCTGCATTACCCATAATAAGGAATATACCATAATTCCCATAGCTTAGGGTCCTTAAGGTAATGCAGGATTTATATCATCAACCGTTCCTTAGTCTTGGGGTTGAATTCCTCTGGGATAGGTTTATGAAGCTTCATGGGTATCAACAATCAAACTAAGAAGTAGGTTGTAAGCATAGCTACCATTACTTGTAGCCGTCCAAACAAATCCCTAAATCTCAAGAAGCAATTCAACATCCACAGGGTGGGGTTTCGGGTTTAGGGGTTCATACTTGAGCATGTGTTCGGGACCCTGCTTTGCTGTCGACAGCGTGCTCGCAACCTTCATCATCATCACCCTCACTTGCATGAGCATGACTAGTTAGCATCCTCACGAACTTCATACGCAGAGGAAGTGTCATCATCGTTATCACCAGCATCACCGTCGTCATCACAATCATCGTGATCAACAACGACATAGTTCTCAAACCAACTTGCTTAAGCAACAGCATCATCATGCCATCGCCACCATCAGCATCATCCTTGAACCTGTCGCTGTCAGCACCTGTATCATCGACATCCTCATCCCGGCATCCTGACCACCACCAAAAGAGTCTTGATGTTTAACTGCTGCTGGGGTTAGGCCAGTCTCTCTTGATTTTTGCTGTGCAGCTCAGATGCCCCAGGGCGGGGGTTCATCGATTGTTGCCTTAAAACAGGCTCCTGGGCTCGGAAGCCAAACACCTTGTGAAGGTTCCGTTCCAGGTTTCTCCGAAACCTTCCTATGAGGTGCAAAGGCATTGACATTCTTTTTGAGGTTTGGGGTACGTCTTTAGAATGACCACTCTATTATATGTATAATATCCCCTGGAAAACCTGCCACACCCTGAGAAAGTTCCAGCATTCATGCGCATGTGTTATCGTTGCAAGGCCAGCGGCTCAGCAACCAGATTCACCTCAGCAGCATGGAAGACGTTCCCGACCTTGCCATCGGCTGACTGTCAGGTTTCACTACACCCTACAACTGCTTTCTATGGTTTTACTTTTGCAGCAGTCTGTGAGGGGTTTGTAAGCGTGTAGGGCTTGAATAAATGGACCGAGCTCTAACAGTTTCCATAGGTTTTGTGACGTATAGTACTCCGACCTCAAAACTCAGCCCGTTGTTGGTGAGCTCTTCGAAGTCCGGCGAGAGACAAGGCTCAGAGTATCGCGGGTGCCAGGGTGGCTTGGGAGGATCAGAGCGTCCCTCCACGGCCCCAAGTTGAGGTTCTCGAGGGGTGGGGTGCTTTAGGCTTTAGGGTTTCGGGTTTAGGGTTCAGAATCTACCGTGCAGGGCATCGAGATTTCAGGTTCAGGGTTTCACATCAAGGCCAGATTCCCTTTCGAAAATCAAAGATCAGGGAAATGAACGTCGAGTTAGGATAGCTGCCGCAATTATGGTAATACTGATTTGGCATATACGACATAGTTAAGCTTGAATAACCAGCAACCCAGTGACTGAGCATCCTGTCAGCAAGGTAAACCCATGATTTCTGCCGAGCCGCAGCATCAGGACGCCGTTGCCTTGTCTTCTCTGGCTTGCAGGGTCTTGGGACTGGGGGTGCGGGCTTTGGTGTAGTGTAGTCTGCAGGCTTTGGTGTAGGCGAGGAGCGTAAAGAATTAGAGAAAGGTTGCAGGCTCTGTCTATAATCCAAGGTTTGTTTGTTGTACTAAGTCGTGTGGCAGCGTGCCAAAGGCCGGAATCCTCTGAGGGTTGAAAACCTCATGATGTTTCAAAGGATCTCTGCCCATACATAAACTGTGTCACGAAGCTGCACAACAATTCTTGTAAAAACACTTATAGGAACCCCTAAAGACGCCGCTATGGAACCCGTACGGAAACCTTTAACCAAAACCCCAGCAACGGACAACTTGAACGACACAAGGCCTCTTAATCCGCGGAGAAGCTTCAGTCCGTTGCACCCTGGATGCGCAACCGAACCCAAAGCCCCAAAACCACCTAACCCAAAAGTCCAAAGATCAGTCAATCCAAGATTCCGCAAACCCTCAGAGTCTACGCCTTCGGCCCAGGCCCTGTTGTCCTGAACCTTTTAGCACCAACACAAAGCCCCTAAGGCCCTGCAGCATAACACTCTGAAAACGCTAGAGTCCTACACCCTAAAGACGTCTAACTCCATGCCTCCCGGCGGCTGCCTCGCCCGGGTGACACCGGCTTGCCTTGCTGCCAGCCACCTGGGCAGTTGCTCAAATTTCGACATGCCTTTCAAAATCTAAGAAGTGTCTAAACACTAAACTGCACAAAATGGCACGATGAAATTTATTGCTCCAAAACAACAGAAATTCGGAGCCTTGAAACTTCCTTAAACACTACAAACGAATGCAGAAGTCGGAACTAAGAAAACTGTTCCTTGATGGTCGCTCTAAACCTATACAACGATGTACCGCAAAACCCTGTTGAGATCATTAGGGCCTTTATGCTCCCTAAACCTTAAACCCCTCAAACCCTATACCATAAACCCTAGAGCCCTAAAACCCCACACCCCCCCGAACCCCCTGAACCCTAAACCCACAAAGCCCTGAACCCAAAACCCCAAGCCCTAAACCCTGGACCCGAAGCCCCTGAACCCCAAACCGTACACCTCTGAAATCAAGAAAGAGCCAGGCCTGGCCATGCGCCCTGGCGCATCGGCGCCCCGTCGCGGCGGAGCCCCGAGGCCACCGCGAAGCTCCTTGAGGCTTTTGGGCCTAAGGGTTTAGGGGTTTAGGGTTTAAATCTGAGGGCGTCAAGAGATCCATGGTTGGTCGACCTGAGCAATGGGCCGCGTATCCTTTGCTGCTCTGCGTGAGCCGATGAAAGCTGTCCGTGGTGGCAGCAGTTCTTCGGAAGGGCATGTCTGCGAACTGGGCACAAAAAGCTCAGGGAGTGGCATTGATCAAAGCGAGCAACGGAACTATTGCCCATCCCGAGACTCCCCGCGTTTGTTTTTGCGCATCTCGAGACTCTTCAGGCCTGTCTTTCATAGGCGCGAGGGTGCGAACCCCGGGCGGTTGTGATGCACGTGCACGACGTACGTCCCTTCGTGCAGAACAAGTGGCAAGGGGAGTTGGTCCTGCCGGGGGGGGGTAAAATGTCAGTTGATCACCATGCAAGGCCAAGCGCCTTGGTCACTCGGAGCCGGCCGATCGTGCAAAAGCAAGCCGCGGGCCAAGCCAGCCAGGTGGGGTTGCACCACATCACCTGCATACCAAAACGCTGGATATTAAGGGGGTCTTAACCAAACCCAACATCGCCGAGTCCGCCCTGCCTTCAGGTCGTTCACGGTGGCCTCCGCTCTCAACGGGAGCATGATGGGCGAGCCGAACTCGCTGTGCACCACGACTGTTGAACGACCGACCTGGATGCTATATTGTCAAGCATGACGGCTACGGGGGTGGGGGAAGGGGGGGTAAGCGAGTCGAGAAGCCCGCTGTCAAGGAACACGTGGCCGGTGCGCCTGAAAAGTAAGCAGCGGACGACTCGGGCGCTGCATGATGTTTGAGTGTGTGCAGATGCGTTGCTGCGGCGCCGGGTAGTGTGGTCCTGCTGTTGGCTTCTTCTGGCGCGCTGTACCTTCTTGCTTTTTTGTCCGTGGGACGCCGCTCCGCGCAACGCTTCGGTGTGACTTATCGTTTATGGACACACAGCTTTGGCAGTGCTCTGCCCGAGGTCGCGACGACATGGTATTGGGTGCCCAGGAGATGGCAACTCATGAAACGGAAGTCCACGACGCAGCCGCCATGCCAGCCGAAGCGGCATGTCAGGACGAAGTGTGGCCACGCTGCCTGACGGGCTCCATCGCTGTGTTTGGGGTTGCTCACAGGAGTGCTTCGTGATCAAACTGCTTAACTCTCTTCCTGAGCGGCCTCGGTCAGTGGCTTTGCGGCTGGGTTCCATGACCTGTGCACGCTCAAAGGGGCCCTGGGGGTTGCCAAGGGCTTGGCTCCACCGGCGAACGTCTTGCTTGGTCTGCATGGCTCTTGCGAGGTAAATTAGGCCGCTTGGTCGCAGGCGCTCGGAGTCTGACGGCGTCCAAACTCGCGGCCGGCCGAACTGAGCAATGGGCCGCGTATCTTCTGCTGCTTTGCTTGAGCCGATGAAAGCTGTACGTGGTATACATGGTGGCAGCGGGCAAAGCTTCGCTGCGTGAGACTTCGCTTTGCCTGCTGCTTGGCCCTGTCACTCTTCGTTGGCGCGCTCGATGGTGGTGTGCGCCATGCGCCCCCGCCCTCTCCGCAGCCTGTATCTTCGGGTTTGCCGAAGTGAGGGCGAGACTGTTTCCAGGTTTAGGGTTTAAGGGTTTTAGGGTTTATGGGTTTGGGAGTCTGGGTTTAGGGGTTTCGGGTTTAGTTAGGGGTTTAAGGGTTTAGGGTTTAAGGGTTTGGGGGTTCGGGGGTTTAGGGTTTAGGGCTCAGGGTTTAAGGGTTTGGGGATTTCGGGTTTAGGGAGCCCTAAACTCCAAGCTCTCAACCGTAATGTAGGTGCCTGTTTGGGTATATTATACTGTCGTTACACTAAGGAACCCCAAACCCTAAACCTTAGTGTTGGGGAGCCTCCCGGGGATTCTCGGATTTAGGTTTTACAGGGTTTTGGTGTTCAGGGTTTAAAGCCTTAGGACCTTCAAAGATAAAATGGGGTTTTGCGGGTTCTTTATCATAATTATAGTATAATATGCCCCAAACCCTATTCTTATTGTTAAGGCCCCTAGTAGGGCCTGAGGGTCTGCAGCGGGGGCCAAGACATCATGATTGAACCCGAACACCCCAGCCCTGAACATAAGCCCGAATCATGTGAATAGGGCTTGGGGGATCTGATACCCAACAAAAAAACAAAGACAAGAGTAACTATAGTTGACTACAGGTCATCATCCCACACCTAAACTCCGGACTCACTGCTTGTTTCCCTTTCCGCAGCTCTTGCCCGTAACAGTTTGCTGCCCGTGACAGTGAGAACTTCATTCCGCCCCTAATCCCGACGAGCAAGCTCGAAAGGTTAAGTTCCCAAAAGCCGGAACCGGAAGCGAGAAAGCCCCAACTAACCCCACACACGCAATTTGATTCGTCTTTTGGCAAGCCTGTGCCCTGAACCCAAAACCATGAACCCTCGGCCCCAAACCCTCTACTCTATACCCTCAACCCTAAACCCTAAACCCCAAACCCTATTACCCCAAACATTCCCTACACCCCGAACCCTCAACCCCTGTACCCTCAACTCATGGCATTTGCTCGCTGGAGGCTCCCAGTCACCCTCGCAATTGGCGAAGACCTGGGCGGAGAGGGCTATTACTATTACTATTACCATTATTATTGCTATGACTATGACTATTACTATTTCTGCTACTATTACTCTTGCTCTTACTCTTACTCTTCTTGAAACTCTTACTCTTACTCTAAGTTGCTACTACTAACACTAATCTTGCTTATACGATTTCCATCACTGCTTATAGTACTACTTGTATTATTACTGCACGAAGAACACAGAGTTTTTACTGATTGCCCGCTCTGCCTTAAAACTTTGCAGGACTCAGGGTTAAAACGGTTTCGGTCTGAACAGGAGCCTGCGGTAAGACTGGTGGCTTTAAGTGTTGCCATTCCTTCCGGGTGGCTGGACCCAGAGACTCCAAAACCCGTTAATTCAGGAATATGCATAATGCCTATTCGGGTTCCAGTTATTGTTTACGGAAAATTCCTCTATTCAGGGGCTTTGGAGTGTCTCTAGGGATCGGGGGCTTTCGCGGCTTGGGTGAAGTTCCGCTGAGTTTCGTGGCGCTTCCGGGGTCTATGAAGCAGTATCGGTTTGAGGTGTGGTTTAGAATTCAGAGTGTAAGGCTTAGGGTTCAGAGTTCAGGGTTTAGGGTTCAGAGTTTAGGGTTTAGGGTTTAGGGGTGCCTTGACAATGCACCAACCAGGCACCCAAGAATTCTACCTGGTGCTTAGCAGGGAACCCTAAACCCCTATACTATAATCCTTACACTAACCCTTACTAGGTGGGGCTTCTAAGGCCTCTGAAAAATATTAGTAAATAAGATCCTCTTAAGCCCAATAAGGGAAAATATAAAATGTCCCAAAGCCCTATCTAGCTTATAGTAACGCTTACAGTAACCCTTGAAGCCCCATTCCCCACAAAGAACCAGGGCCCCCCCAAGAATTGTACCATTTTCGGCGGAAAAGCTTCGGCGTGAGAGCCCTCTGCTTCTGCCGAACCCAGAGACTTCAAATACTAAGGAGTATTCCTTGAACCATAATACGAACCTAAACAGGAAGTTAATATGAACCTAAATGGGAATTTAAGGAATATTCCTTAAATTACCATACGAACCGAAAAGTAGGAAGTAAGGAATAGTCCTTAGTTGAAGGGTTTTGGGAGTCTCTGGGAACTGAGCGGCTTCTCACAGAGTTTTGAAGAGAACCCGGGTTGCGGGTTGAAAGGTCGCTGCTCCACGATAGCGGTTGAGGGTTCAGGGTACAGGGTTCAGGATTTTTTTTTGAGCCCCTGTTTTACCCAGCAATCCAGTCTGCTCGATAAAGGCCACAGAGGCCAGGGGATGAGCGACAGCCCAGCACGGGTTCAGGGTTTAGGGTTTAGGGTACACGGTTTGTGGTTTAGGGCTTCCTGTTTAGGGTTTAGGGCGGTGTCTTTGAGCATGTTCCACGTTCTGATTTCCTGGATGTCGCGGTCGGTTATGGCTCGGCAATGAGGGGTGATGGAGATGATGCACTTACCCGAACGAGGGGTTGGGCAAAGGCTCATCTACAACTTGTGCTCTCTAGAGACCCCTATGCAAAATTGGTCAAACCCCTAACCCGAAACCCAAAAAAACCCAAACACCTAAGCCCCTAAACCCTAGACTAAGAACTCCAAACCCTAAAACCCTTCCAAGAACCGGCAACATCAAACAGCTAGCTCCCCAAGGCGCCCACGAAGGTCTTCTGAGGGAAGTTTTCGAGGAAGAAGAGAGCAGCATCGTGGAATCTCGGTGCGATGACACCAAATGTAGCTTGAAACAGCAATGCTGATGCTCAGACCAGATGCAGAAGAACAGGAGCTGTGAAAGCACAAACCTCAGTTCTAATCTGAATAAGACAGGGGCCGTAGCAACAAACGTTTCAGTTCAGTAGTGATATCAGCTGCAGCAGCAACATCATATTACCAAGCCCTGCAGCAACGACAACTACAACAGCAGAAGTCATACTAGAATTACTAGAAGTAGCAACAACTGGCGGAGACATTGGCGTAGACATATCAACGACGGTAAGAAACCTCGCGTGGATGATTCTATAAGTCAGTGCCTGGCTACCTCATGCAGAAGGCTTATTCCGGTTGATGATATAAATCCTGCATTACCCATAATAAGGAATAGATGGGAATTATGGTATATTCCTTATTATGGGTCATGCAGGAGTTATATCATCAACCATTCAGATGCGAGATTCCGAAACTGATGAGCGCAGCAGGGAGAGACTTCAGGGGGCCTGGAGGCAGGAGAAGGGCCTCGTCAAAGCTTGGCATTGCAACAGCCCCGGGCCTGGCCCACCCTAAACCCTAATCCCTGAACCCAAAACCCTAAACCCTAAACCCTAATCCCTGAACCCTAAACCCTAAACCCTAAACCCTGATCCCTAAACCCTAATCCCTCCCTAATCCCCTGTCACCTGATCACTCTGCAGCCCTTCCTGCCTCTCGAAGCCCGGCAACACAATCCAAAGCCCTGACGTTTTAGCCGCGAAGATCTGCAGTTGCAGCTGCTGAGCCTGACAATGTAAAGGCCATAGCCATCAGAGTAGGGCTGGCAGGTATACTCTACTTTAGTTATAACGGGGACTCTAGGCGGATACTAGTATTGACCACTCATTTGGGTGTATAGGCTCTTATAGTTCTAACGATGTATATAAGGTGATACCATGATCACTGACCCAGGCTACTACACTACTCTGCAGTTCTAGACTATCACGGGATAGTATGATTACTTACCCTAAACCCTAAACCCTTAAACCCCTAAACCCTAGGGTTCTAGATTACTCAGTTCTTGCCGCCGGGCCACTGCCTCTCCTCGCGGCATGGGCTTGGGGTTCCGGGTTTCGGTGGATTAGGACCTAGAGTTTTGGGGGTTTAGGGTTTGGGTTTCGGGCTGCGGTTGGGGGTTTAGGGTTTTAGGGTTTAGGGTTTAGGGGTTGCGGGGGATTAGGGCCTAGGGCTTCCGGGGTGTAGGGCTTAAGACTTAGGAGTTTAGGGTTTAGGGCTTCTATTTAGGGCCTGGGAGCAGAGGCATGCCAGGGGAACGCAGGACTTCAAACTGCCCCGAACATGCAAACCGTGCTTGCCACCAGAGCCCAGCAACCGCATTTCGCAAACTGAGAACCCTAAACCCTAAACCCTAAACCCTAAACCGCATTTCGCAAACTGAGATGTCTGCCGCAGGCATCAGAAAGGTGCACTGTCGGTCCTCGACCCACCCTAAGCCCTAAACTTAGGGATTAGGGTTTAGGGTTTAGGGATCAGGGTTTAGGGTTTAGGGTTTAGGGTTCAGGGATCAGGGTTTAGGGTTTAGGGTTCAGGGATCAGGGTTTAGGGTTTTGGGGTTTAGGGTTTAGGGATTAGGGCCCCAAACCCTAAACCACAAGCCCTTCACCCTAAACAGGCCTTTGCAATCCATGCACTGCGACGGATGAAGCACAAGCAATCCGTTAATATGGGGGCCTCAATAATTGGAATTATAAACACAAAAAGGAACCCGCAATTACTTCGGCCCCTACAGTAGTTGCAATCTTCTTGGCGTGCTGCGGCTCATCTTCGAGCCTCAAGGCACAGGACAAGCTCAGGCACGCCAGGCGAATGCCCTCCCATGGCTTCGCCCTGCCCTTGAGTGCAGTGACCACATTGTGACATTGGGGGTCGGTGGCAAGTCTGGCGCGCCATGGTAAGCACGAAGGCGAGATTCATGCGCCTTTCGTCACTTTGAACCTCAGCCCTAGCAGTGAGGGCAGACACCGTCATAATCCGTTGCTGCACAGGCAAGCCTGATGAGCCGAAAAAATCTTAGTAAGGAAGGCTTCCTTGAAGACAGTGCTACATCAATAGTTTAAGGAACATTCATCATTCTTACTGAAAGGGTATTGTGCTCTCTTGGTATATACTGGAATATGGGAGTTTCCGAAAATACAGGTACCTTATTTGGGGTACTTTTGTTTAACAAAGATCCTACTATTTAGGGTACTATATTACGGAAACTCCAATATGCGAATGCAAAAACTCCCCGCCTTCGGGTGTCGAAACAAGTGTTTGTAGAGACTCCAAAGCCTCTGAGTCAGGGACCAGGCCTGAAATCTTAGGGTTTAGGGTTTAGGGTTTAGGGTTTAGGGTTTAGGGTTTAGGGTTTAGGGTTTAGGGTTTAGGGTTTAGGGTTTAGGGTTTAGGGTTTAGGGTCGTCTCGCCGCGCAGCGGCAGTATTTTCTATGTAGGATGGCGCCCCAACACTCCCAGGGGTGTGGGGGGGCGGCATATCGACGTCTAGCGTTCGAATGCGATTCCACCACTAAACAATTACACATTGGTTCCTCACCTTTTCCCACCCGCTGTGAGAATACACGGGCTACCACCCAAAACATTGCCTTTTAGGGTTTAGCGCTTACGCCCTCAATTCCCACCTGCCCGGTCTGTCTGTTGGGCCGCACCTACACACGCCACAAAACAGAGCGGGTCAGGTCATGGGTCAGGGAGAGGCCAGGGGAGGGTCAGGGGGGCCAGGAAGGGGCCAGGGGGGGCCAGGGGGCCAGGGGGGGCCAGGGGGGGGCCAGGGGGGGTCTTTTAGGGGGGGCCAGGGGCCAGGGCCCTCCCAGGAGGCCCGCGGGTCCCTGGAATCTGCCAGCTGGGGGACCCCCCTGGGCCGGCCTCTGGGGCCTCTTCTGAGGGGGGCCAAAAGGAAAACACCACCAAGGGATTTGGTCGTCGGGTTTAGGGTATTTTAATCTCTTGAGAATCGAGGGAATTCCCTCTGCGAATATGGGCGCCACGCAAGGGGCCTAATGGCTTGGCTCAGCCCTAGGGGCTGAATTCGACCATTCTCCAATGGCTCCACCCATTGTCCATCCAGAGTTGGTGTCAATCACTGCCGGATGTCCTTCTGGGCCCAGGCACCCTAAGAAAAAGGGTGGGTACGGCCTAAGCAGGCCTGGGTGGGAATTTAGGGTTTAGGGTTTAGGGTTTAGGGTTTAGGGTTTAGGGTTTAGGGTTTAGGGTGCCTGAAATCATATGGGGGTTCCAGAAAACAGGGGACCCTAATATAGTACCCTAAATAAATAGTAAGACCCTGATTTTAAGGACCCCAAAGCAAGCTACCCCCAATTTTCCGAAACTCCCATATTGGGGATCTCCATAGACTTTAAGGTACATTGCTTGATTAAGGGGTCTTAGAGAGGCTTGTGCTTCCACAAAAGTCCTGGACAGTGAACCTGAGAAGCCCGAAACCCTAAACCCAAAACCCTACACCACGAAACCGTCTAAGTCTGCAGCCCTCACCTCGGAGCCGGAGGCCATAAGAATCGCACAAGAGACATCCCTGAGTTCGGGAAGTCTCCTCAAATCACACTAAAGTAAAAGCCAGAAAGTTGGAATATGGTTATCCTAAACCCTTTATGCTAAATAATAGGGTATCCTACCCTGAAACCATATTCCAACTTTCTGGAGTTCCCTGTAGGCCCTTTTGGGCCCCCATCGCGCCTTTATAGCAGTAAGAGGTACCCTTTTCCTGCTGTTCACGTTTACTGAGAAAGACCTATACCCTACACCCTATACCCTACACCCTACATATACCCTAAACCTATACCCTAAACCCTGAACCCTAAGCCACAAACTCCAAACCCTAAACCCTATACCCAATACCCTAAACCCCACACCCTAAACCCTATACTCTATACCCTATACCCTAAAACCCTATACCCTAAAACCCTACTCAAACTGCAGATCTCCTCGGCGGCGACTTGCTCCTGGCTCAGGCCTTCGACCCAGTATCCGGCAGCCAAGTTACCTTGTTTTTTTTTAGGGCCCCTTTTCAGTCTGGGTAACTTGTTTAGGGTTTAGGGTTTAGGGTTTATGGCACGACTGCAAGTATTACTTTGAACATTTCGGGTTTAGGGTTACTGTACGGGCTGCCAGAAAGCTTACGAGAATAGAAGAAGTACATAGTATAAGGCTGTTAGGCGTTTCGGGTTCAGGGTTCAACGTCGTGGCTCTTCTTCAGGTTTGAGTTTGCGTACTCAAAGTGAAACCCTGAACCCTCTCTGCAGTCAGGATGGCCCTAAACCCTAAATCCTAAACCCTATACCCTAAACCTAAAACCCTAAACCCTTCAGCGAGCTTGGCTTTGGGCCTTATGCTTGCACCCTCACCCTCCTCACACCAAGGGCTGAACTTCCGCTGAAGGCAAATCCTGACCCGATTTGGGGAGCTCCAAAGATGGAACGCAGACATAGTCCCGCTCAAAATCCACCTTGTCCGCAACATGGTAAACATACGGCTGATGATATAAATCCGGCATTAACAATAAGGAATATACCATAATTCCCATAGTTTAGGGCCATTAAGGTAATGCAGGGTTCATATCATCAAACATAGTACATATTCTACCCGACATCCTGTTCCAGGCCTTAAACCTCAGACTCTGAAAGCGCACGAACCGATCCAGCCGAGCCACTCTCCGAGACACCGCCTGGCACGGAGGCGCACGGAGGTTAACTGCACTACTTCAAGGATCAGGGGGCTTAGGGTTTAGGGCTAACTTCTCTACTTAAAGGATCAAGGAGCTTATTAAGTAGGAGTATAGGTTCCTCAATTGGAATTGCAAGTAGGTGTGACCATGGTTACCTTACTCACCGCCCTCCTTCATAAGTCCCCTGATCTTCTAGCCACCCCAACCTTCACCAAGAAAGCGCTTAACTGTTGAATGACTTAATAAAGGACCTTAAAGGAACCTCCCAGACCCCACTTTCCAAATCCCAGACTGTGGGTCTAGCGCTTTCGAAGATAGAGGTTGGGTACGGCACCCATACAGTAACAGTCTATAATAGGGCTACTATTTAGGGCCTTATTATATATCTATATTACGAATATTATCCAACTGATACTGAGCGGGGGCCGTACTCAAGATAGAGGCATGGCGACAAATGATTTTTCATTCTCAGAACGCCTAGGGGTTAAGGGTTTGGGGTTCCAAATCTTTCACCTGACACCAGTAAACTCTGTTGACCCCTGAATAGGAGTTTCCGAAAATAGGGGACCCTAATGTAGTACCCCAAATAGTAGGCTCCTCATTATAAGGACCCCAAAATAGGGTGCCCCTAATTTTCGGAAACTCCCATTAGCCATAACACCCACACTACATCCGGAGACCCCGCACCCGATACTCTAGGAAAGCTCATGGGGCCCTAGATCAGAGATTAAAGTTTCGGGTGTAACCTCGCGTTGAGGGGTTTTGGGTTTGGCGGTTCAGGGATTTAGGGTTTGGCGGTTAAGGGCTTCGGGGGAGCAGCTCGAATATCGGAGTTCTGCGAGACGAACTGTGCGCCATATCTTGTTCAGCACGCCCACCTTACCCGGAAGTCGAACCGTAAACAAATTCCGTACCTCACCCCGTGCTTGCGATTGAAAGGATTAGTCAGTGTGGAGACATACTTATTGCGAAATCCTTTATCGAAGTGTTTTTGTTGGGTCACATCTTCCCGTGCCTGCTGTGCTGTAGGCCACCAAGACGTACGTGGTGAAGTCCATCTCCTTTGAGTTTCAGGGTCGGTGTCAAGCAACTGGAAGAAAGCCAAGAGAGCCCATCTGCAGCCCCAAAACCTACGTATTTGTTGGCTTCCCTAATATGGGTTCGTTGAATACTCCCTAGAATCTTAGAAGAGGTTGGTTTTTGTGCAACCGGCGCTACAAAAGCCAGATGACGTTGGGGAACTCCATTGTCTGAAAGCCCTGTAGGCGGTTGTGTTGCGGGTTTGGGCTTCACGCTTTGGGCTCTGTCTACGGGTCTGAATAAAAAGTGACGGCTCCCCCTCCTACATATATGTAGATAGATAGATAGATAGAGCCCCTGTAGCTACAGTATGGTATCGAAGCCCCTAGCTGCCCTAGTTCGGGCTTGGGGGGTGTTCATAGAGGCATAGGGGCTCAAGGGATCAAGGTCCCAGAGACGGCAGAAACATATGGGTGGTTGTCTAAATTAGGGTCCCTTTTTGGGTCCCTAATATAGTACGGCACCCTTTTTTTCGGGTTCCCAAAAAGGGACCTTAATTTTGACAACCACACATATCAAATCTACAGACCAAGAAGGCATCCTATCTTTTGCGTGAGGCGGTCTGAGCTTTGAGGCTTCAAAAGTTGGGGGCCCTGAAGCTTCAGGGCTTCGGTGAGCAGGGTTTAAACCGCATGTGTGCTCAGGGTTGACGGGTGGGGGTTTCGGGCTTCCGTCTGGGGCCGCGAATGGACGCCCGCACCCTCTCCCGATTCGAACGAGGTGCCTGGTAACATAAAAAAGCACAATACAGCCTGCACCCGCCTCCTTCCATGCACCAAACTAGAGAAGTTGAGACATTATCCTACAGGCCGCTATAGAAACCCGAAGGTTTCCAAAAGCTCACGAACCTTCCATTCATCGGCCCCTAAACCCTAAACCCCTAACCCCTAAACCCCTAAACCCCTGAACCCCTATACCCCTAAACCCCTAAACCCCTGAACCCCTAAACCCTATACCCCTAAACCCCTAAACCCCTGAACCCCTAAACCCTAAACCCTATACCCCTAAACCCCTAAACTTTGGCCCTAAACCCCTGAACCCCTAAACCCTATACCCCTAAACCCCTAAACCCCTGAACCCCTAAACCCTATACCCCTAAACCCCTAAACCCCTGAACCCCTAAACCCTATACCCCTACAACCCCTAAACCCTAAACCGGCCTTCATGCAAACCCCCCATGCTCGACTCCATCCTCGAGGCCGGGATTCAGAAGGCTCGGAACCTCCAAAACCCTTCCCAGAAGCTCCCATAAGTTAGGCCCCAGAAAAGCACATAAGTAGGCATAATGAAGCCCAATAAGGTAGGAATATCCCCATAGAAAAGCTTATGCTTATGTGCTTTTTGGGTCCCTAAATAAGAACCCTTAGAGCAATCCTAGAGGAAGGCCTAGACCATCCCTCCTCAACCCTATTGGTAGAAGCCTGAACCTAATCCCAACAATCCTAAACCCTAAACCTTAAACCCTAAATCTTAGACCCTAAACCCTGAGCCTTAAACCCTAAATCTTGAACCCTAAACCTTAAACCCTTAAACCCAACCCTCGACCCTGAACCCAAGCTCAACCTCTGAAGCAAATCCGGTTGCAAGGAGCCCAGAGGGCTCGGAACTGCGGATGCTCCGCGACGCTGCGCAGCGTCGGGAAGGCGTCCTCGGGCGGCCAGTGCCTTGGCTTTTCCCCAGTTTCGAAGGCTCTATACGATGCGGGCTACTATAATGGTTTCTATGAGGGTTATTATATATGGGTTACTATACTATGCTTGCTACTGTAATGGTTACGATAAGGGAGGGATTGCTATGAGGGTTACTATAAGGGTTGCTGCTGCAAGGGTTACATTCGAAGCTCAGGGGGCTAGGTGCTACGGGTGGAGGGCTTCGGGGTATAAGCTTAAGGGGTTAAGGGCTTGGGGCTTCAAGTGTCTTCGGGCTAAATGCTTAAGGTTGAAGGGCTTAGGGCTTAAGGTGTAGTGCCAGGGGTTTGGGCTTCAGGGTTCAGGGTTTGAGGTCGGATGCTTAGGGTTTGTGTTCACACTATGGTTTGGGGTTGGTGCATAAGCACTCAGGCTTCTTCTGTGTTTGACTACAAGGGCAAAAAGCTCAGGGTCTCGCTATGGCTTAGCGCGTAGGGTGAAGATGTCTAGGCAAAGGTCGCACAGTGTGTCAGAGCCGACGGTGAGTGGCTAACATCATGGGTCATGGTCAGGGAATGATGCCTTTAGCCACAACCATCTTCATGAGCATCAGCTGCAAATCACCGTGCCATGTCATGACCGACACTGCCGCAGAGTGTTACTCACCAGAACCAATGAAGGCAGTGAAGCCTTTCAAGTCGGACCGCTTGAACCGGAAGAAGCCTTTTAGGTTAGGAGCTTAGGGCTTTCTAGGAAGTTCTCTATGTTCAAGCCTTCAGCATCCAGAGCCAAACCCAACCCCCTAACAGCCCTAAAACCCGAAACCGTGAAGCCTAAAACCCGAAAACACTTGCAGTAGCCCTTTTGTAGTTTCCTTGTTTTAACCCTGATACAGCAACCGTAACCCTTGCCGTAACCCTTTTTGAACCCTAAACGCTTAACCGCCATTCGTTGTTCAATACTTGCTGTTTGTGATCCATTATTTGGAAGTGTCTTCGAGATCATGTAGGGGCCTTAATAATTGGACTACTGTATTGGGGGGGGGGTACAATAGTAGAACTATACATGGGTGGTTGTCAAAATTAGGGTCGCTTTTTGGGTACCCTAAATATTAGGTGCCGTACTATATTAGGGACCCAAAACGGGACCCTAATTTTGGCAACCACCCTCATAAGGAACCCGAAGGAGCACTATTACCAATTGTTCCTACCCCTATATTTCTCTCGGCCCCACTCAGCTTGCTAGAGGAAGGGCTCTCATAGCCAATCATAAGAAGCTTCATAAGACGAGGCGGGCTCTGAGAACCAAAGCGCGTGAGCCCAAATGCTGAACTCAAACCTTAAACCCAAAATCCTGAAGCCCAACCCTCCTGAACTCAACCCGTGGTGAAAGCAGGGAATGACAGTCAGGGCTGCTGGCATGGAACGAGTTGATCGCATAGTTCCAACCCGGCCGGAAGAGAGCCACCTAGCAGCTTCGAGTCTTCAGGGGTTCAGCGTTTTAGTGCTGAGGGTTTTAGGGTTTAGGGTCTAAGTGTTTAGAGCTTTAGGGCTAGTATGATCAAGTATAAGGTTACTGGGGTTACAAGCGCTACTATGTCTAAGGGTTACCATGAGTTATTTAGGGTTTGGGGTTTGGGGCTTTCGGGCTCAGAGCTGATGTGTGGCGTTGGCCGTTCGGCTTGCTGGTGGTACATCTTGAGCCTGATCCGGGGGAGGTACCCTAAACCCTAAACCCTAAACCCTAAACCCTAAACCCTTCAAAGGGCCCCATGGGGTTCCATCATTATCGGGCAGGCTTTGAGGGTGCTACTTAGAGGATCATGGGACTTAGTAAGTAGGTTATAATTGGGGTTATAAGTCCCCTAAGTGGGGTTATCCTAATTATAACCTACTTATAACCTTACTTACTAAGTCCCATGAGCCTTTAAGTACGAGCTTTTCTGGGCTTTTCTCATTAATATGGTTTCCTTTACAGGGCCCCTTTCAGTTCCACGATCTAGATTGAGGTGGAGGGTTGTGGGGTGTATGAATCCCTTAAGGGTACCATTGGGTTCTATAATCGGGGTCCTTTTAGGAATTACAGGCTTCTGACCCAAACAAAGGGAGTGCATGGCCGAAACAAACCCGCAGCAAACCAAACAAGATTGCATGCCATATGCCATATTATATCCATCTTGCCGTATATGCCGCTTTAGTACCCTGTGGATGAGTTAGTTGAAACGTGGTGAAACCCCGACCCACACGACGGGATCCCGACACGACAACAAATTTCAGCAAAGACCCGGCACCTTATAATTGAAACTCCAGCACGTTTGATCTGCAGAACCTTGCATCTGAACCCAAAGTCCTAAACCAGACCCAGCATCGTGAGCCCCATGAAGCCTTAAGCCCCAATCCCAAAACCAATCTCCTCAACCCTGCACCTCGAAACCTTAAACCCGATCCCGTAAGTGATCGGAAAATTCCAAGACGGTGCCCATACGCAACTCAACAATGCCCAATAAACCAGCCTTTGAACCCCGTTTAAGGCTCATAGATGAAACCTGAACACTCAGCCCTACACCCATAACCCTAAACCGGAAGCCCTAGACCCTGAACCTGAGCACTAAGTCCTGAGCCCTAAACCCTGAATCCTGAAACCACAATGCCCAACCTTAAATGCTGAACCCTGAACCCTGAACCCTAAACCCTACTGTAAACCCCGAAACACCTAGACCTAAGAGAAACCCTTCTCCTGCCTTGATGACGGTGCTGCCCAGGGAACGCAAGGTGCGAGCACCATCCAACAGCACCGGAATCGAAGAATCCCCTCGGCTTTTGTAGGTTTCTGTAAAGTTCTTTAGACCCGCCATCGGGCTTTATAAGGTCTCCACAGGTGTTCTGAAGTCTGTGTAAGGTTTCTTAAAACTTCTACGGGCAGTCTAGCGACGTTTGAAGCTTCTACAGCTCTTCAGTTCGCACCCACTCAAAAGCAAGTGACCCTGCTTAGCAAGCGCTGGGAATCAACTCAGGTAGCTGCTCAAGCTGTGAACGGCAGCTGAACTCGAACGACGCTTTAACTGTACAGGAACACGTACACGAGATGGAGAGGGCCACAGCCGCGTTTAGCAACAGGGATACGGCTTTTGTGAAGTTGCTATGGGTATTTGACGATTTGCATAGGTTCGGGTTCTGAGCATAGGGATCTAGAGAGTCTTGCAGGGTCTCCATGACCATGAGTTTGATAGAGTTTAGGGTCGAGGTTCGGCATTGAGGTTGAGGTTTGGGTCCAGGGCTCTTTCAGCCTTACCGGAAGGGTACCGGTCTCATCACCGTCAACAGCATCATCACACCCATCGACGCTATGGTAGTATCTTCTTCACGAATGTCAGCTACGTAGACAATTGCCCTGCTCCTACTCCCACTGCTGCTCCGACTCCTACTCCTTCTCCTACTCCCACTGCTCTCGATGGCAGTACCAGTAACGATGACACTAAAAATCACATCTGCAGCCAATGCCAACGGCAGGGTTGCCTTACTGGGGTGCGGGCTTTGGGCTCATGCTTCAGGATTGGGGCTAGAACCGGCAGCACCAACAGCAACAACGACAACACCTGGCGTATTTTGCGGCAAATCGAAAATCTTTGGACCCACCAAACTTTCAAACCTCACCCTCAAGACCCTAATCCCAAGAAAGCGGTCATCATTTATGAAAGCAACAGCACTTATTCGGGCCAAAGAGCTGCCATAGCACGGGGCCCAGTGAACAGCGCCCAAGCGATGAGCGCAACCTCAACACAAGAAGCCTAGGGTTTTTTAGGGTTTGGGCTTTAAGGTTTAGGGTTTTTAGGGTTTAGGGTCTAGGGGTTTTGAGACTTTAGGCTTTAGGGTTTAGGGCTTTAGGGTTAAGGGCTTTTAGGGTTTAGGGTTTAAGGTTTAGGGTTTTTAGGGTTTAGGGTCTAGAGGTTTTGAGAGTTTAGGAATTAGGGTTTAGGGCTTTCAGGGCTAAGGGTTTTAGGGTTTAGGGTTTAGGGTTTAGGGTATCTAAATGGTGAAGGTATGGGGGTTACCTGATAAGGACATGGTCAAGCTGTGGGGTATTCATGCGGTTTACAGGGCCTGCAGCGTTTGGAGATACGGTCAAAGAAGTTTTGGGTTGGGCCACTGGTCCTGGCTACAAGAAGCATAAGGGATAGGGCCTGAGTAAGTAGGTTCGGGGTTGGGGATCTACTCTACTGTAGTTATTCTAGGTAACTCCAAGAGTGGTAAGTAGAATAGGCTTGGGGTATATTCTACTGCAGTTATGCTCAGGAACGCTAGGAATCGTTTGGCTAGCTCCGGCTTACATCTTCATTCCAGGCCCCTGGTTGCTCAACTGGGAAGCCTGGAGGGTTCAGGAGTAGGATGAATGTTTAGGGGCGTCGGGGTTCAGGGGTTAGGGCCTTCTTTTGGGACGTGCCTTCTCCGTTCGCCGATTGGGGTTTAGGGGTAAGGGTTTAGACGCGGAGTCTTCGATTGAAGCGTGTGACACATCGGACGGTCGCGAGAAACTCGTGAAGGGGCCCTGAAAAATCAGGATTATAAGGTCTTTGTTAGAAGCTGCCCCCACCCTGTAATAGTGAGCATAAGGATTATATTAATATTATATTAGGGCCCTATTATATTCCTATTATACCACTATTACAGGGTGGGGGCAGCTTCTGAGGTCTTTGTCTAGTACAGGGCCCTGACTATCTGGAGGCCCAGAAAGCTGACCCTGTAGGCCCAAAAACCTAAAACCCCCAGAGCCCTAAAACAAACTTCAAGAAGGCGCCCTCAAAACCTCAAAACCCAATTGCCCCTAACACTACACTAGAACCCCGAAACTAAATCTCTCCCCTTTAGGGTTTTGGGGTTCAGGGTTTGGATGCCCCTGCACCAAGCATTGCACCGGTCGCCGAACAGTCGAACTCCTGAGCCTGCTGGGGGCTCCGGGTTCAGGGTTCAGGGTTTAGGGTAAGGGGTTTAGGGTTTAGGGTTTAGGGTATGGGGTTTAGGGTTTAAGGTATGGGGTTTAGGGTTTAGGGTATGGGGTTTAGGATTCCTTCTAAGGGTTCCTTAATAAGCATTCTTTACGAGTTCCTCCAACAGTTCCTCTAAGTGACTCTTGGGGCTCGTTCCTTGCGGTTTAGGGCTTTAGCGTTTGGGCCGACGAATTATGCTGCAGGATACCGGCTTTCAGGTTTAGGGTGTAGGATAATGTTTGTGGAATTTAGGGTTTAGGGTTTAGGGTTTAGGGTTTAGGGTTTAGGGGGTATGTAGGGTGCGGTGTTTATGGCTTGAGGCTTAGGGCTTTGTTTGAACTTTAACCGCAAACTGAATCAGAGCAGGTTGCGCCTGTACCTCACGGCCAATGACACGAGCTCGGAAAGCATTAGCCAATCATTAGCCGGATATCTTCATGTTTCAAGTTACACCCTACTCCAATTATATAGTCCCTGCCAGGGCGCACTATTGGGGCTTTAGGCTTTAGCATTGAAAGGCAACAATGCAGTCGAGAGGAACGGTCCCTTGGTGGCTTCCCGCGGCCTGACGATGTGGCATACGTTTTACCTTTGCAAAGCGACACGGAAAACTGACCTCGGAGAGTCCGGTAGGAGCCAGAGTAGGTTGATTTCATCAACCCTTTCTTCTAATTCCTTAAACAGTTGCAGCCTCGGGTGGACAGCTTATGCCTTGGCATCCTCCGCGGCCATGTGCTTGATCAAATCGACAACTCGGCAGCTGTAGCCCCACTCCTGAGATGCTTTTACTTCGTGGCCCCATGCGAAGCATCAGTTGCGTTATGTTCCTTTCTTAAAACCTTACGATACCGAAAGTGTTCCAAGAAAGCCGTAGAATCGTTATCATACCAGCACACGACCTTGACGAAGGTAGGGTCCAGCATGATGCCAGCCTTGGAGTCGAAAGTGCAAGAGATCGGGTTGGTCTCGAAATCGGTGGACACCAGGGCCTCGTCCGTGTAGCCCAGGTAGCCCTTCATGTCTCCCTCGGAGCGCTTCTTCATCTCGGCGCAGATCTCCTCGTAGGTGGTCTCCTTCTCCAACTCCACGGTCAGGTCGACCACAGACACGTCGATGGTCGGCACGCGCAAAGCCATGCCGGTCAGCTTGCCCTTCACGTCCGGAATGACCTTGGCCACTGCCTTGGCAGCGCCAGTGGAGCTGGGGATGATGTTGCCAGGGCCGGCACGGCCACCGCGCCAGTCCTTCTTGGAGGTGCCATCCACAGTGGGCTGCGACGCGGTCATGGCGTGGCAAGTGGTCATGAGGCCACGCTTGATGCCGAATTTCTCCTGCAGGACACGCACGGCAGGGGCCAGGCCGTTGGTAGTGCAAGAGGCGCAGGACACGGCCTCCATGGACGGGTCGTAAGTGTCCTCGTTCACGCCCATGACGATGGTGTGGGAGTCATCCTTTGCGGGCGCGGAGAAGATCACCTTCTTGGCACCGGCCTTCAAGTGGGGCTGCACCTTCTCGGTGGTAAGGAACACGCCGGTGGACTCGCAGACGTACTCTGCACCGTGCTCGCCGAAAGGGATCTCAGCAGGGTCGCGGGTGTGAGACAAGGCCACCTTCTGGCCGTCAATGACCAGGGAGTCGCCATCCACCTCGACGGTTCCATCATACTTACCATGAATAGTATCATATTTCATCATGTATGCCAGGTAGTCGGCATCGTAGCTGGCGTTGATGAGCTTAAGCTCGGTCTCCGGGTCCTTCATGGCGATGCGGGCCACCTGCCTGCCGATGCGGCCGAAGCCGTTGATGCCGACGCCCACGGCCTGCATGGAGGTGCGTCCCTTGCTGGCACGCTTGCCAGCCACACCTGCCGCCGCCAGACCGGCCACGGCACCAAGCCCAGCCATGGCACCAACACCAGCAGACTGCGAGGAGCCATAGCCGGACGCGCGAAGGTTGGTCCTCTGCATCTGCGGCTCGCTGTGCTGGACCGTGCCAGCAGGCGCCACGAACGCACCGCTCAAGGCACCCGCTGCCGCGAAGGCACCGACGCCAGCCATGGCAACGTTGGTGGCGGTGGAAGGCATGATGTCGAGGATCTGCACAACGAAGGGCTTTCGAACCTGCTTGATGGCTGCTTCTTGTGCACCCGCTAACGCACACAAGCGCACTTCACAGCACTCGCAGAAGGCAAAACTTCTTTTTGCTATTGGCATGCCATTGTGTTCGGCAGCGTTAAGGAAAACTGACCTCGGAGAGTCCGGTAGGAGCCAGAGTAGGTTGATTTCATCAACCGTTTCTTCTAATTCCTTAAACAGTTGCAGCCTCAGGTGGACAGCTTATGCCTTGGCATCCTCCGCGGCCATGTGCTTGATCAAATCGACAACTCGGCAGCTGTAGCCCCACTCCTGAGATGCTTTTACTTCGTGCCCCCATGCGAAGTATCAGTTGCGTTATGTTCCTTTCTTAAAACCTTACGATACCGAAAGTGTTCCAAGAAAGCCGTAGAATCGTTATCATACCAGCACACGACCTTGACGAAGGTAGGGTCCAGCATGATGCCAGCCTTGGAGTCGAAAGTGCAAGAGATCGGGTTGGTCTCGAAATCGGTGGACACCAGGGCCTCGTCCGTGTAGCCCAGGTAGCCCTTCATGTCTCCCTCGGAGCGCTTCTTCATCTCGGCGCAGATCTCCTCGTAGGTGGTCTCCTTCTCCAACTCCACGGTCAGGTCAACCACAGACACGTCGATGGTCGGCACGCGCAAAGCCATGCCGGTCAGCTTGCCCTTCACGTCCGGAATGACCTTGGCCACTGCCTTGGCAGCGCCGGTGGAGCTGGGGATGATGTTGCCAGGGCCGGCACGGCCACCGCGCCAGTCCTTCTTGGAGGTGCCATCCACAGTGGGCTGCGACGCGGTCATGGCGTGGCAAGTGGTCATGAGGCCACGCTTGATGCCGAATTTCTCCTGCAGGACACGCACGGCAGGGGCCAGGCCGTTGGTAGTGCAAGAGGCGCAGGACACGGCCTCCATGGACGGGTCGTAAGTGTCCTCGTTCACGCCCATGACGATGGTGTGGGAGTCATCCTTTGCGGGCGCGGAGAAGATCACCTTCTTGGCACCGGCCTTCAAGTGGGGCTGCACCTTCTCGGTGGTAAGGAACACGCCGGTGGACTCGCAGACGTACTCTGCACCGTGCTCGCCGAAAGGGATCTCAGCAGGGTCGCGGGTGTGAGACAAGGCCACCTTCTGGCCGTCAATGACCAGGGAGTCGCCATCCACCTCGACGGTTCCATCATACTTACCATGAATAGTATCATATTTCATCATGTATGCCAGGTAGTCGGCATCGTAGCTGGCGTTGATGAGCTTAAGCTCGGTCTCCGGGTCCTTCATGGCGATGCGGGCCACCTGCCTGCCGATGCGGCCGAAGCCGTTGATGCCGACGCCCACGGCCTGCATGGAGGTGCGTCCCTTGCTGGCACGCTTGCCAGCCACACCTGCCGCCGCCAGACCGGCCACGGCACCAAGCCCAGCCATGGCACCAACACCAGCAGCCTGCGAGGAGCCATAGCCGGACGCGCGAAGGTTGGTCCTCTGCATCTGGGGCTCGCTGTGCTGGACCGTGCCAGCAGGCGCCACGAAGGCGCCGCTCAAGGCACCCGCTGCCGCGAAGGCACCGACGCCAGCCATGGCAACGTTGGTGGCGGTGGAAGGCATAATGTCGAGGATCTGCACAACGAAGGGCTTTCGAACCTGCTTGATGGCTGCTTCTTACGCACGGTTCGTGTTACATGTAGACAAGCGCACTTCGCAGCACTCGCAGAAGGCAAAACTTCTTTTTGCTATTGGCATGCCATTGTGTTCGGCAGTGTTAAGGAAAACTGACCTCGGAGAGTCCGGTAGGAGCCAGAGTAGGTTGATTTCATCAACCCCTTCTTCTAATTCCTTAAACAGTTGCAGCCTCAGGTGGACAGCTTATGCCTTGGCATCCTCCGCGGCCATGTGCTTGATCAAATCGACAACTCGGCAGCTGTAGCCCCACTCCTGAGATGCTTTTACTTCGTGCCCCCATGCGAAGTATCAGTTGCGTTATGTTCCTTTCTTAAAACCTTACGATACCGAAAGTGTTCCAAGAAAGCCGTAGAATCGTTATCATACCAGCACACGACCTTGACGAAGGTAGGGTCCAGCATGATGCCAGCCTTGGAGTCGAAAGTGCAAGAGATCGGGTTGGTCTCGAAATCGGTGGACACCAGGGCCTCGTCCGTGTAGCCCAGGTAGCCCTTCATGTCTCCCTCGGAGCGCTTCTTCATCTCGGCGCAGATCTCCTCGTAGGTGGTCTCCTTCTCCAACTCCACGGTCAGGTCAACCACGGACACGTCGATGGTCGGCACACGCAAAGCCATGCCGGTCAGCTTGCCCTTCACGTCCGGAATGACCTTGGCCACTGCCTTGGCGGCGCCAGTGGAACTGGGAATGATGTTGCCAGGGCCGGCACGGCCACCGCGCCAGTCCTTCTTGGAGGTGCCATCCACAGTGGGCTGAGAGGCGGTCATGGCGTGGCAAGTGGTCATGAGGCCACGCTTGATGCCGAATTTCTCCTGCAGGACACGCACGGCAGGGGCCAGGCCGTTGGTAGTGCAAGAGGCGCAGGACACGGCCTCCATGGACGGGTCGTAAGTGTCCTCGTTCACGCCCATGACGATGGTGTGGGAGTCATCCTTTGCGGGCGCGGAGAAGATCACCTTCTTGGCACCGGCCTTCAAGTGGGGCTGCACCTTCTCGGTGGTCAGGAACACGCCGGTGGACTCGCAGACGTACTCTGCACCGTGCTCGCCAAAAGGGATCTCAGCAGGGTCGCGGGTGTGGGACAAGGCCACCTTCTGGCCGTCAATGACCAGGGAGTCGCCATCCACCTCGACGGTTCCATCATACTTACCATGAATAGTATCATATT